CGCACAAAACTGAGAAACGATAGTTCCCATCGAGATACATCGAGTGGCTTTTAAATTTTAGAAATCGGTCCAGCCGTTTTGGAGAAAATGTCGATTTGAGGTAAAAAATCTGTTCACACACACACATACTTTTTCCAAATTTGGTCTCATTCGATTCAGAATGGCTTGTAACTTCCAGATAACGTAAAATAAGCAAATCGATTTTTGTCGCAAAAACATAAACTCCTTCAGGAAGCTAATAATTATTTTCTTCATAAGTAATGACTACAAATTACTTAAGAATCTTACTAAATATAATATAATTACCTATTATCATAAATCCAATATTTAGCCTTCTAAAGACATTTTAATATCATATAATGAGGTCAAAAATAATTATTAAGTACATACTGGCAGAGATTTCCAATATAAATACGGTATCTGGTACTTTGCTCATTAAAATCGCTCGTGGTTTAGTATAAATAAATAATAACCAATATAATTGTAGTTTACGAGTTTTCTGGTTATTCAACTTTAAATATTAATCTGGAACGAATATCGATCTAGGGAACTATTGAAATGAGTTCTTTTGAATAAGAAAAGCTTCGGAATTTTTTATTATGGAAAAGCCATATATATATATATATATATAATATATATAATATATATATATATATTTATATATATATATATACTGAATGTGTATATTTCTACTATATTTAATTTATTTTGCAAAACTCAAATAAAACAATTCGTTAATCAAGTTTTTTTTTACTGAAGCGTTTTGAGTTTGGTTCTTCGTATTTTTTTACATTTAAATTTCACTCTTTTAATTAAAACGGTATCTTGTAATTGACACATCTCCTGTTGAGTTTATTGTCAGATCCATCAAAGGGAATGTCAGAGGAATCACGTCGGAGCAAATAATATCTTGATTAAAATTCTTTCCTTCTTTTTCTGTAAAACACGTCTACTTCAACTTATTTTGTGCTTTCACGATTACATGGTATAGAAATCTACAAATACAAAGTTCGATTTATTTTCGCCGAAGAAGTAAATAAATTTTGTATTATATCTCGTGAATTCATGTTATCTATTTAAATGAAAAAAAAATGCATTGGATACAATACTCTGTTAATGATTATTTTTCCCCGTATGTCATTCATTTTCTTTTATATTTAGCAATACATTTCAATAATAATAATATTTGCAATAAATTTTCGTATCATGATAATACATTTCCAGAATTTGACTTGGTTACCAGATGCAATTTTTAAATGAAAATTCTTTCTTATGCAACGTAAAAAAATATAAAACATTTTATAAATTTTATCTAAACCATATTGATGGTATTTATAAAAAAAAACACAGAAAACTATAATTTGTAAAATATTGCATGTCACGATGTCATTCTTATAAATAAATAATGACAATACAAGCAGATTTTGCTATAATTTACATATTTTGATTCCTTGTGTTCTATATGATAAATATAAATAATCTATTATTCAAAGATAATGCTGTTCAATTCGAGCATTCGAAGCGTGCACATCGATAAGATATGGAGAGTGGTGAGTACGGTGAGAACGGTGAGTCATCACCGTCTCAGTACAATGTCAATAGAATCAGTAATTTAGGAACAAGCATTGCTGATGCAATGAAAACATATTATAATGAAGATTTAAATTCAACACAACAATGCTATAATAGTTTAATTAACAAGAAAAGTGAATATTCTAAAAAATTAAGTGATTTAGGCAATGAACTACATAGTGGAAAAAAAGTGTTAGTATTAATTTATTAAATAAATCAATTAAAAGTGTTAAAACTGATAAATTAAAAAAGTGACGGAAAGATTAAAAAATACTTCTAAAAACTAGAAAATGTTAAAACTTCTATCAAGACTAGTGAAGATATCTCGGAAGAGTCGGAAACAAATTGGGATGAAAGTATGGAAGAAGAAAATATTAGTACAGAACAGATAGCAACAAAAATATGGATTTAGAATTAGAAGATCAAGATAATTTAGAAATTAATGAACCCATAAAAGAAATTAGCCAAAATAATGATATAAACAAAAATTCATATAATAATAAATAAAAATTTGACCTACTCAAACAGTGATATAGGACCATTCATTATCTACGTGGAATCCGAAAATATAAACAATGGAGTGGTACACCAAATGGCAATAGGCAAGCTTATGTTTAAAAATTTTCCACAATACAAACATGATATAATTGAAATAAGATCCATAGGAAAAAACAGAATCAAAATTACATTTATAACTATAATATAGCAAATAATATTATTAAGGACGAGGTTTCGTTAAAAACAAATTGCGAGCATATATACCCACGTTCTTACTAATTAGGAAGGGTGTCATACACGGCATAGACGCTGATATGACAGATCAAGAGATAAGAGAAGATATAAAATCAGATGTTGAAATTTTAGATTTAAAAAGAATAAATAAAAAAGAAAATAATAAATTAGTGCCTACAAAAACTTGTGTAATAACCTTCAGGGGACAGCAATTACCTGATCGTGTGTCGATATATGCAGTCAAATTCAGGATCGAACAATACAATAACATTACACAATGTTTAATTGCCAAAATTACGGCCACGTGACTAATCAGTGTAAGGGTAAAACCAGGTGTCCATTGTTCAGGCGAACACAAGTATAAGGATTGTGAAAACAAAGAAACTTCTCCGACATGCGCATTATGCAAGGAAGAGCATCAGGCAAAAGACAAAAAATGTGGTAAATATTTATATCACATCAAAGTAAAAAATATAATGACCGACTATAAAATAAGTTTTAGGGAAGCCAAGGCGATATTAAACAATAAAACAAATGCTGATGTCATAAGACCAGGTGTACAAATTAAAAACAAAATCAATTCTCCCGATCTGCCTGACGTACAGATAGAAAAATATACAAAACTATATCAACAGCCAGAAATCATAAGACCAACAACAACGGTACTTAAATCGACATATAAAAACAACAATAACATAAGCAGTACAAATCATAGTAATGTCAACAAAATAACGGGAGACCCACCCAGCGTACAGGAGCGAAATAGATACAAAAATAATTATCATAACACAACACAAAAACCCATAATACACGACAGGAGTAAGAAAAACGAAATACCACGTGATAAGCAAACGATATTAAAAATTGAAGAAAGACACAGAAGAAGAAATGTAAAAGAATACTACGATAGAAGGAGGGAAATAAACAAAGACGATACTGAATGGAAAACTCCGAATAATCAGGAAGATAAAGATAGCAATAATGAAGAGAAAGAAAAGATGATGAACCGATACTTCAGAGAAATATTTAATAAGGTACAAACAAGACTAAGACATAAAACAAATGAAAAAACAGAAAAATTATGGACAGCTTTAGAAGAGGAAATTGATTCTTTATGTAATGAAAAAACAACACATTCAGAAATTACTCAAACAGATAAGGGTAAAGAAAATACTGTTATAAAATAACATTTTGTATAATAGTGAATATAAGTTAGTTGTATAATTGTATTAGTATAGAAGTTAAAAAAAAAAAAAAAAAAAAAAGGAAAATACCAAATGTATAATCTTCAGTGACAGCAAGGCGAGCATTTTACAAAAGCAAAATAGAAGATCAAGCAAATTAATTTTTGGAATAATGTGTGGCAGAGAACAAGAAACGATAGATCATATTTCTTGTAAATGTTAAAAATATATGAAACAAAAGAAATCCATGTATAAAATGTTACAGGACAAAGAAATCGTGTTCCCAATAAATTCACAAGTGTTGATATCCTACAATATTGTTAACATACACAAAATTATGTATAAGTATATAACTAGTATTAAGATTGATTTATAAATTTGGAATTGTAAATGTATATATCTATGTAACTGGCGAAATGATCGAAAGATTAAAAGCCATAAATAAATAAAAAAAAAAAAAAGATAATGAATTATTTATGCAGATATACTTTATATACGTTAGTATTCATAATTTTAATAAAAATGCGCTTGTTTAATAATTTATTTAACATATATTTTATAATCTATAGCGTATTATAGCCTAACTCGTACCTCTTATGAACATAATGTTGTAATATTTGGTGAAATTAATTTAAAACATTGCAAACTTTTTAACAAGTAATGTTTTTTCTATTGTTTAGGTATATTTACGTTTTTCAAAAATGTGCTTTAGGTATAATTAGACCTAGTCGCCTTAGTCGTATTCCTTTTTCAGAAACAATAGAATTTTTGTCTAAGATTTTGCCTTTTATTTAAATATTAATTATCAAGTCGAACATAATTATTAAAGTATAAAATAATCTAAAAAGTGATAAATGCACTAATAAATTTGACTAAAACACTAGTTGTAAGAGTGATCTCAATGTCAGTAGTTTATTTAAATACAATGCATCGATATCACGATTATAAATATACTGTTTTGTTAGATTTAATCAAAACCGATGATTTTATATAAATCTGTGCAACATTATCATTCAAAAAGTGAAGTTAAACAAAAATTGAAAAATGTAGTGTTTTTCAATCTTTTAAAATCGATGAACAAGATCAAGACTTATGTGCAAAAAAAAACAAGAAATATAAATAAGATTAACAAGCTTTTTATATCTATAATGCATTTATTAAGGAGAGCCAGTTTTTGGATAAAATATATATGCTATGTTATGGGTCTATACGCGTTTTGAATTGGTAATATCTAACTGTCAAAAAAATGTATCTGCTGTAAAATCTAACCTACAAAACGCACAAACGTCATATAACAAATTTATCGTAAGTGCACCTTTCTGAAATCTCTTTAATAGCACATGCGTGAAGTTCGGTTTCATTTGTGAAACGTCTGCTCGCACAGCAGTTACATAGTTTTTTGACAATTTGTTACTACAAACCCATACGAATATAAACCCGTAACATACTATTACTATTTTATCTGAGAATTGGCCCTTACAGGTTCGAGTCCAAATTTTTGTTTTTACTTACCATTCCTTCTCCTATGTGATGTACCGCACATGGCACCAGGGCTGTAGAACCTATTTGTGATGTGACCATCGTACTATTTTCCGTTCCAAAATACATTGGCGGAATATCTGACATCGTTTCGAAAGACGCCTCCAATTCGTTTCCATTTAAAATAGGTGGAGGCTCGGCTACTGTCGCTAGCCCTGAAAAAAAAACAAAATACAAGGTCATTGATTTATATAACTTAAATCTGACAAAAAAATACAAGGTCATTGAATTATATAACTTAAATCTAACATAAAAAACAAGGGAAATTTGTTTTATTGCGTCGAGCATTGTGTCATAGACCTTACACTACATGGACTCATATTTACACGCTAGTACTCATACGTTTATAGTATCAAAAGATAGTAGGGAACTGTGACGCCACTTAGTGAACGAGCATTGCCGACAATCGTGAAGCACTCCCGATTGAATGTATGTATGTATGTATTAGATGTATTAAATGTACAATTTACAATTTTCAAAGATAAAACAACAAATATACAAAATACAATAAAAGGAATGCTCAAATAATTTAGTGTCTTGATTCTAAGAAACTTGATATTGTGGGAGTTTAGCATGTCGCGCCGAAATGAAGTAAACATATAGGTTTTATTTTGAGTAAGATGGAATTTGACTGTTATAAATTGTTTTAAAAATATATATTAAATTTAAAAAAAATATTACAAACTAAGTTATTTTCTTTATATTTCATAATTTTATTAATTGCAAAAATTAAGTCTTTGTTTTTAGAGCATCTTCAAAAGTTGAGGTTCTGTATATCCATTGATTTGCAGACTTTTTTTATAAAGTTTAAAAGCTTTTCTAAAGAAAAGAGCAGTATCAGACACAAAGAGAAATATTTCATAACTAAGAAAATACTTAGTTATAGCCAAAAATGGCTGCGTTTTTAAGACATCACAAATAATTAGTAACAAAAAATATTTATAATATGGAGGCGATGGTACCACTGTATTTCTTGAAATCAAAATTCATATATTCAAAAATGTCATAAAAACTGTTGACTTGGAGTATCGGCAGCCGAAGAGTAAGGATCGTCTACAGGTACAAATTTAAATATTGTGAATAATAGTTTGTTTACCAGTTATGGATACCGAGCCGCCGGACCCCGGCGGCAGACCCTTATCGCCGATATCTGATATAGATATCGACATTGATAATGTTAGTGAGTCACAGTGCGTAAATAATACTTATTATAAAATGGAAGGAGACAAAATACATTGGGTTAATGACACTACCCATATTAGTGCTATTAATTCGGTAAATATTAGTGAAATAAATGAAGAAAATATAAATTATAATGAAAATAAAGAAACAAATAGTGATAATTTAACAAGTGTCGGTGCGGAAAGTGTAAATAAAAAATTAAAAACAGGTATAATATCAGTCGCAAAGTCTGAACAAAGTAGTGAAATATCAAATATAAACAATGGAATCAAAACAAGTTGGTATAATATGTGGTTAAAAGATAAGGATACAGCAATAGTAGGCGAAAATATTAAAGAAATTAAATACTATTTAGAAACAGACGAAGGTCCATTCATTATTCATGCTGAAAGCAAAGATAAAAATATCGGTAGACTACACCCGATGGCCGTGGGAAGAATATTTCACAGAAATTTAATAAATATTAGTAAAGATATAGAAAATATTAGCGCTATTGGCAAAAACAAGATAAAAATAACATTTAATAATTATAAGAGTGCAAACAGAGTCATCAGAGAAAATCTGCTGGATATTTTTAATATTAAGGCATTTATTCCCAGATACAAACTAGTAAGAACCGGAATCATCTTCGATATAGACCCAGATCTAGAAGAAGAGGAAATTTTTAATTGTATTAGGTGCGATAGCGAAGTTATAAGTATTAAATGCTTAAAAAGTAAAAATAATGAATCAATGAAACCTAATTCGCAGAGAGTAAAAATTTTATTTAGAGGCAATATGTTACCAGAAAGAGTGTTTATCCATTCAGTAAGTTGTCGGGTTATGCCATATATACAAAGATTAATACAGTGCCACAAATGTTGGAGATTTGGACATATAAAAATACAATGCAAAAGCAAAGAAAGGTGTAAAAAATGAGCAGATGAACATAACATAAATGCATGCAAAAATGACGAGGAAACTTGCTGCCTATGTTATGAAAACCATCAAGCAGATAGCAAAACATGCGAGGTATATCTGAAGAATAAAAAAATAAAAGAAATCATGGCAATGCAGAATTCATCTTACGAAGAAACTAAAAAAATTATTCAGAACAACGGATATGCAAAAGCAGTTAGCACCTATAATCAATATAAATCCTATCAAAATAACTTTCCAGGTCTTAATAGTAATATGAGAAGCAATTCAGATAAACCAAATGCTAATAAATATGAAATATTAGCAAATCTAATAGAAAAAGAACAGATTTATAACACAGATAACTTAATGAGAATGAATAAACCAACAAATATCTTAAGCAGAAATGATAGAAGAAATTATTATAAAGCAAATTATGAGTATCGAAGAGGTGAACATAGGGTAGACAGAACTGACGTGATTAAGTCTCACAAAAGGTCACAAAGCAATGAGGATAAAGAAATTTCAGCAGCGCGAAGGACTCAATTGAGAAGCGACATTAAAAACATAATTAAAAAACTAGAAGACAAAAGATATGGTATAGATATAAGCAAGGAAACTAATATGTCGAACATAAAAATAAGATTAGAAATGATAATCGAAAGTTTGGGTATAGTAAGTTCTCAAGTAGAAAACACAATAGGAGTTGGTTCTAAAGAAAATGAGAAAACAGATATTAGTGACAATAATTATAGTTGATTAAAAAAACAAATAAATAAATAAATAATAAAAATAAAAATATAATGAATCAATTAAAAATTTTACAACTGAATTGCAGATCACTAGTATCAAATAGGGAAAGTATTCAACACTTTATGTTCCAAAACCAAATCCACATAGCGGCACTACAAGAAACGTGGCTAAAACCAGATAGGAATTATAACTTCTCTGGGTATAAAATATTTCGTGATGACAGAGATGATGGTTATGGCGGGGTAGCTATTTTAGTAAAAAATGAAATTGCTTGCGAAGAAGTCATTTTTTCTAATGATAACGATAATATACAACTCTGTGCAGTTTTGATTAAAACCCATACACCATTTTATATAATGTCCGTATATTACTCTCCTAATACAAGTATAGATATGACGGATTTTAAAAATCTAATAGAACAATGTCAAAGAGCAAGAATTTTGATTTCGGGTGATTTCAATAGCCACCACTTTGCGTGGGGCAGCAATCATATAGACAAAAGGGGTGCTACAATATATGAGTTAATAGAAGATTATTCTTTTTGTATACTGAATGATGGAAGAACAACAACAATTCAATCAAAATACAAAAGAAGCTCACCAATAGACTTATCATTTTGTTCCAACAATCTAATTAGTGTGTTGGATTGGAATATAGTTAATGAGAGTATTGGATCAGACCATCTCCCAATAATTATAACGGCGAATGTGTATATAAAAACAATGATACACATTAATATAAATAAACGATGGAATATTAAGAAAGCAAATTGGACAAAATTTGAAGAAAATATTGACAAAATGACAACAACCTTTAATCACACAGAAAGCATCCAGGAAAAATATAAATCTATTACAAACATAATAGAAAAAGCAGCAATAAGTAGTATAAAACAAAATAAACAGAATTACATTAGGACTTTTAGACCTACTCCATGGTGGGATGAAGAGTGCATGGAAATCATATCCAAAAGAAAAATAGCATATAAAAAAATGTTAAATAATTTCAACTATAACAACTATATTAATTATCAAAAAATTAATGCAAAGATAAAAATAATGCTTCGCAACAAAAAGAAAAGAAAATGGATAGACTTTACTAACTCCTTGAATAATACCATGCCTATTACACAACTATGGAAAAAAATCAATTTCTCAAACAGTAAATCTAAAGTAAATTCTTATAATCAAATATCGCAGGATTTTGGATATAATATTTTGAAGAACTATACGCCAGATTATGTTAGAAGTTGCATCCGTCACTACAAGAATGATAGACTTCGAAATCGAAATATTAATGCGGAAGCAATAAATTGTCCAATAAATACCGAAGAACTTGATAATGTTTTGAGAAATAAAAAAGATTCTGCGCCAGGAATGGATAACATCCATTACTCTATGATTTCTAAATCCCCTAGGGAATTTAAAAAAAACATTGTAAATCTGTTTAACGAGATAATTAAAAATAATATGATTCCCGAAGATTGGAGAAATGTTTGTTTGTTACCATTATGTAAGCCCAATAAATCTCCATTTGACGTCAATTCATATAGGCCGATAGCATTAACGTCATGCGTAGCAAAATCATTTGAGAAAATACTTAAAACAAGACTGGAATGGTTTATCGAAAACCAAAATCTATTAAGTCCATTACAAATTGGATTTAGAAAAGGTAAAAGCACTATGGATGTTATAAGCATTATCTCAAACGATATTCATATCTCAAATTCCAATAATAACTACCTCCTATTTATTGCAGTAGATATCGAAAAAGCATACGATAACGTAAACCAGGAAATTTTACTAAATAAAATGCGAAAGTTTAAGATTCCAAAACTTATAATTAATTGCGTTATGAATCTTATTTCTCAAAAAAGAATTTATATCAAAACTAAGGATGGAATTATAGGGCCAAGAACAACAAATACGGGCATTCTCCAAGGGTCAATACTTAGCCCACTACTCTTTAACATTTATACCTCCGATTTGATCAAAATAATAAAATCAAACGATATCAAAATCTTACAGTATGCGGATGACCTGTTTATATATGTAGCAAAACCATCAATTGAGATATGCATAAAGAAGGCTAGTGAAGCAATAAAGAAACTACAAAATTGGCTTAATAAAAACAATCTAAGTATATCCTCAAGTAAAAGTTCAATAACAATATTCACCAGACACAACAAGTCATACCAGCAAGACCAAATTAGGTTGGGCAGTTTAGACTTTCCCATTAAAAAATGCGTAAAAATACTCGGTGTTTATTTGGATAACAAAATGAGTTTTAAAAATCACATTCAAGAATTATGCAAAAAGGGTGAAAAAGGATTAAACATATTGAGAAAACTAGCAAATACCAGTTGGGGAGCTCACCCAGAATCGTGCTTGATGATATATAAGTGTTTAATAAGATCTCAAATGGACTATGGATGTTTTATTTACGGTACAATAAACTCTTCTGAAATGCAAAAATTAAATAGATTGCA